TACTGTCATCTGAGTTCAAAGAGAAGCTGTTAAGCCCTGGATCTCTGCCTGAGCTTTTTTTCCTGGTATCATCAAAGGGTGTTATTGTTAATCCCAGTTAAACAAGAAGTCAGCATGTTCCACAGAATCAAAGGCTGAACCTGGATTCAGGAGAGAGGTGTCCTGCTCCTGGTTCTTCTGGTGTAGTGCCACGTCACTTACAAAGGTCACGTTTGCTCCTTTTCACCCATCAATTGAATACAAGCTTTGGGGATGTAACTATGCCTCCCTGCAGATTTTTCAGTATGCTGAGCCAGCGTAGCAAATACCACTAGCATGCTAATGCCTTTTTACAGAATAAAGAGTTTATCTGTGTGTATAATAGTTCTTATAATCTTATAATCTTAAATCTTATAATTATTCTTATAATAAAGTCAACTATTGGGAGTTTCTGCAAAAAACTTAAACTTTAGATGTCTACTAACAATAAAGTTTCTGAAGACCGATATGAGGTCAGTTTAAGTGAGAGATGGAACACAGATGGTTGGTATAAACCATGTGAGCTCCACAAAAAGCAGACTTTAATTAAAGTGGAAACAACTGTAACGTGGAAGTGGATGCCTTTGGACAAGCACATCAGATAACATAATGCTCCAACAGCGAGTGTTTCTAGGTGATTGCACAGGTACATGAATTTGTGGCAAAGCACAGTGTGTAGGGCACTGACAGTATATCATACATAGGAACAAAAATGGACTGGCAGAGGGAGCAACACTTTGAAGGGTGCCTACATCATCAAAGGAGACAAAATCCCACTGATCTTGAACAAGACTTAGATCATGCCACTATGTCCATCTGATTGTCTCAATCCTTTTATTTGAAGCTGGACCCATAAATGAATGGCATGGTTTGAGCAGAGATCGGTCAGGTCAATATTCACATTTGTGGTTGGAGTTAAATGTGAGAACTCTGTTCCATGCTTCATTTAATTGTAGGGACATACCCTTGAACTCCTTTGCTACTTACACACTTTCCGATCAAATGACTTGTAGGAATCTTCAGCGGAGTCTAAACTGCTGATTAGCTCATGTCTGATGGCAACTATGGAATAGGAGATTTGCACAGAAAACAGCTAAGCAGACATATGGGAATAAAGAAATGCCAACTATTCAATAAGGCTTTACCTGTTATGTGTAATTTTGCAGAGATATGGAAAGAATGGAAAGGTTAAAAGAAAGGGCAACAAATATAAGAAGCTTAGTTCTTAAGTCCAGTTATGAACGGAAGGCATGAAAACTGTGGAAAGCTATGAAAAGTATTTATTACAAAACAGGAACCGGCAGGTCTTATTATGTTGCCTCTCATAAGTGTGAAATTCTAGAACAGATGCCCCACAAGAAGGCTACTGCAGGAAAGGACTTAATAGAGGGCATGAATGAAATGCCGTGCTTCAAGGAGCAAGGGAATGAAGGCAGCCTTCTAGGACTGGGTTGTTTTTTGTTTGTTTGTTTGTCTGGTTTTGCTTGTTTGTTTCTTATTTAAAAATGTTGAGATTCTGCTTGAAGAGGAAAATGAATTTCCAGTCAAATGGACCAGAATCAGTGATGATTTAGGAGAATGTTTGTTTTTTCCCCATTAGGCTGAGCAATGACGCAAAGGGACCTATATTAACAGAAATAACTAGCATGTGTTTAAGAAGTGATGAGAGGACAATGATTAACAGCCAATAAAGCCAGTTTGATATGAGTGATAGGCATGCATATACAACATCTTATTTCATGTGGCTAAGATTCATGTTAAAAAATCCAAGTGTTCTGTTTGTGCTGATGTCAGGTGCTCATTATATGATGAAAAATGTCTGGTGGGGTTTTTTGGTTTGTTTGTTTGGTTGGTTGGTTTTTTCCTCAATAAGCTGCATTAAGGTTGTAGTTTGCTTGTGTATTATGTATTCCCTTCAATTATCAACAGTGAAGACAGTAACAAATGATCCTACAGAAAGAAACTTGTGTTTCTGTTCAGATATTAAAAAAACCCCTCAACCCATTACATTCCATATCTTTTGTCCTATTTTCTTTTCACCTTGCATGCAGCTCATAAACCAGTGCTCTCTTGCTTCATTAATGAATTTCCAGCTCAGTTCTTCTCTCTTTCCAGCTCAATTTCACACTGATGATAATTTCTGCTTCTGTGACAGCCCTGCACAGGAATTGCAGGCACTAGGGCTAAGATGAGGAGGAGCAGAGCACAGTGAGGTCTGCACCTAGATCCAAGCTTGTGGATCAACATCACAGGATCAGGATGTTATCCTCTTGGGCTATCAGAATGCAGGGAAGTCTGCCCACTCTCTTTAAGTGGCCAAGGATGGGAAGCAAAGGGCATTTCCACTTACCATTGTAGCAACTCGTTTGACTGCTTTTACTGCCTTTCTGGGTTGCTGTCAGGGCTTGCACTGCCAGTGCTGCCATTCCTCTTGCTGTCACTGATCACAGAAACACAGAATATTAGAGGTTGGAAGGGACCTCTGATGATTGTTGAGATGATTCCAGAGCAGGACCAAAACAAACTAGGGCAGATCACTCAGATGCAAGTGTTTCAGTCACCGCCTAGGGAAGATCCCTGTTAAAGACAGATGTCTACCCTTTTTTCCCTTGACAGAATTAATGTTTTCTAGGTCCATCCATGGCTGTTGGCAAAGGAGAAGGATGAGTCCTTTCATATCCTTGGATTAGGGCATCCTCTTGTTGGGGAGAGACTTCCCTCAAAACCTATAACTGATATATTCTGCAGGAGGTGTTGAAACCACGTTCCTGGATATGGCTCACACCAAGGGGTCACTGCAATGAGAGTGGAGGGCTCAACACTCCTTCACTTGTCCAACACCCCTGCTAAACAGGGCCACCTGGAGCAAGCTCCCCAGGACCATGTCTTGACAGGTTTTTTAATATCTCCAAGGATGGAATCTCCACACCTCTCTGGGAAATCTGCGCCAGTACTTGGTCAACCCCACAGTGAAAAAGTTGTGAAAAAGTGTTTCCTGGTATTCAGAGGGAACTTTGCTGTGTTTGATTGTGTGCCCATTCCCTCTGGTCCTGTTACTGTGCACCACTGAGAAGAGTCTGGCTCTGTCCTCTTTTCATCCCCCCCTCAGGTATCTGCACACACTGTTAAGATCCCCCCGAGCCTGCTCTTCTCTCAGATGAAGTCCCAGCATTCTCAGCCTTTCCTCATGTGAGAGATGCTCCAGACCCTTAACCATCTTCATAGCCTTATACTGGTGCCATCCCTATGGCCTCCAGTAGCTCTACATCTCTTTTGTACTGGGGAGGACAGAATGGGACCCAGCACACAAAGTGGTGTCCAGGTCACCACTCTTGACCTGCTGGCAACACTTTGACTAATGGAGCCCAAATATATCATTCACCTTATTTGCAGCAAGGGCATATTGCTGGCTCACATCCCACCAGGACCCCCAGGTCCTCCTCTGCCAGGCTGCTTTCCAGCCAGCCATCCCTCAGCCTGCACCAGTCCCTGCGTTGTTCCTCCGCAGGGACACGGCTTTGCCCTTCCCCTGGTTGAAGTTGCTCTCCCAGTCTTGCTCACAGGCTGCCTGTGCCCAGCCCAGGGGGCTGCGAGAGCTGTGGGAGCTGCAGGGACGAGCAGCTGTGGGAGAGGAGCTGCCTCCCTGGGGGAGGCGAGGGCAGTGGGAAGGCGAGGCAGGGGCACAGGGGCGCACAGGGGAGCACAGGGGAGCACAGGGGAGCACAGGGGGGCACAGGGGGGCACAAGGGGGCACAAGGGGG